TTCATTGTGCCTGTTTTCCAATCTCACTGTGATAGTACATTTCTAAAATAGCAATAATACGCTCAATGCTTGTGTTTTTTTCATGTACTTTTTGAAGTATGCTGCCATTTCACAAAGCCGACCTGTGAGGACGTGGCAATGAAAAGGTTTATTTACACATCACGGTCAAAGTCGTTCCATTTAAGTCCAACAGTATTAATTATTTATGTTTATAGTCTCAGATCACAGCAGCAGGCTCTCGTAGCCTAAATACTATGAACAACTTTTTCATTCTGCCTTCTTATTTTAAATAGTTTTGTCACCAGCATGTTTTATCACACATATCTAGTCTCCAATAAATAATAAAATGTAACATTGGGTTAATAGTCTGATACTAAAAAATGAAAACAAAATTATAAGGAAAAGACCCAAAACATCTCTGTAGCTTAGACACACTGACCTGCAAGATAAGTTGGATAGATGCACAATTGTTCATATTATTATTATTATTATTATTACATTCATTCATCCACTTCATTAGGTACACCTTTCTACTACCCAGTCTCACCCCATTTGTCCTTTAAAAGTGCATTAATTCTTTAGGGGTAGATGCAGCAAGGTGCAGGAATTCACTCAATGCAGGTGTACCTAACAAAGTGGCTGGTGAGTAAATTTTCATATATTTCAATAGGAGACTTATAAAAGAATAGACTGAGAAAATAGGTCATACTTTTTTCACTGATATTTGAGGAAAGGTGCATCAGTGTTATCCATCTTAATTCCTGGCTTGTTTCACTCTGGATTCTTTAAGTCTGCAGAATCTGCCGAACACATCCTTGATCCTTTCATGGCAATCACAATATCGGCAAGGCCTTGTGGTTTCTGTGAGTTTCCCCTCACTGTCAGCTAAGTAAATACATTAAGTCCACATCGACGAAGCAAGAATGTGACTGGTTTCACCAGGAAGAACATCTCAAAAAAGTCTCACAGCAATAAAATCGCTACTTTAACAACTTTCTGGTTAAATTCAGAGTAAAACACAATGCAGAGAAGTGTATCCAGGCATGTAATTGACACTGTATTTCAGATCCTTTGATTTTATTCCAAAAGACAGTCATATGATCATTTGGCTAGATTGTCCATCCCTAGTTGGCACATGAAACCCCAAAGGGAGCTGTAGATGATAAGTGCTTTTCATTTATAACTTGTTTAATTTATTAAAAGTGAAATAACTTCTAAATATGTATTTTGGTGATAGCTCTTGAACCACAGGCACACGTGAAGCAAGACAGATGATAAAGATAATTGTGGTAGAGTCAGTAATATCTGGTATGTATGTACAGGTGGTATGTTCATGTTCATGGGTGTGAGAATGCACAGCGTATATGTGTGTACTCTCCTAATTATCTAAAAATAATATCCAAACATCATCTGGACCACTTTTTGTTAACCCTCAGCCGTAAAAAGCTGATGGGGTATTTCTAAATTGAGACCATTTGTGCGTCTACTAAAAATCTCAAATGATTTGAAATCTCAGCGATCTCGACCTCAAGGTTATGGTCGCAGGTCAGGTTTTTTGAAAAACCAGTAAATGAAATGACTCAAGAAGGAAGTCAGCTAGGACTTGAGCAGTCATACAATAGGTGCATTTACTAAAAATCTTGGACAAGTTTCAATCCTTGAGGCCTTGACCTCGAGGTCAGAGGTCAACTTGTGATGATTACATTCATTTTTAATCAAACATAAGCTGAGGGCAGTTTTTATGAAGTGACAAACTGACTGCATGTGTTTGATATGCTGCACTGGCAGCTTTATGTTTTTGAACTTTCATCCATCCTGTTCCCTTGAACACCTCGAGGGAATTTTTTTTTTTATCAAATTTGGTAAAAACATTCACTCAAGCCTCAAAGACCAAGGTCACAAATCATATTTTTGGCAATAACTCAAGAACTTAATTATGACAATATTACACACAGATGTAAAATATGATAAAACGATGATGCAATGACATTTTATCTCCAAACGTTCAAAAGTCAACAACTGAGGCCTGATAATACTGGCAGAGTAACAACAGCTTTTTTATGGCGATGGCCTTAGATTCTGGTGATCTTTAGTTATCCTGTGCAGGCAGATCGTTTCACCCACTGATGATACTTGAAATTATGCAAAAACGAAAGCAAAGTTCAAATGTGTTGCTAACCTAGAACGTAATCTAAAACTGTGTCTCTCGAATGGGAACATTTAATATGTCTTTTGATCAAAAGAGCATCTAATCTGTCTAAATTGCTGTCAAGAGTTCTCAGTTTGGTTATGCGCATAATTGTACGGTGGAGCAAGTGAAAGTTAATCAGAGGGCTTGCAGTTTCGTGTCAAGTGAAAAGCAGTTACTGAGGCTAATGCTGATTGGGAATTAGCTTCTACAAGGGTGCATGATGTGGTGGCCTCGCTGATCACGCAACTTTGCGTATTAGTATTTTAAAGAGGTCTTGTGTCCTGATAAATAAATCTGCATTTCTAGATGTTTTTGCCAAAAAAAGTAAATCCTGGTTAATTGAGGTAACCTGCTGTATTATGTCACTGCCCACTCGTCTAGACAACAGAGGCAGTGCTGAAACTAGATGGCAACAAGCAAATGAGTTTGGAGCGTCGCTATATAAATGTTGTAATAACATGACACGTTAACTGGCTAATGGACTCTGAGCTGAACATCGA